ATCATATACATGTTGATTGTTTCAGAGGGCGGCTGTGTTGGTCTGCAGAAGAACAGCTAGATTCGAGTCCAGCCACACCTTAGAGACCAACAAGAGTTTCAGGGTAGGAGCTTTTGAGAGTCTCATGTCTGATGAAGTTCTGATATCTGATGAAGGGAGCTTTGACTCCCAAAAGTCCATACCCCCAAAAATCTTGTTGGTCTCTAAGTTGCTAGGGGACTCAAATCTAACCATATACACGATGCCACTTATTTCATGGAAAGCTGTCCTCAAAGCTCTCCTTTTCCAATTGGGTTAGGAATAGGCAGGGGACGAAAAGCTGGGTTAAATTTTGGTTTATCCCCCTATCCTATTCTCAGTTATGCCCACGTTTAACTGTTTCTGCTCACCTTCTTTCCTTCTTATCCTTACATCTCCTTTCCCTTCCTTAATTGTCCCAATTGTTTTTACACTGTAAAAGCCTTGGGAGTGGTGATTTGCCAATGGTGCTATGTAACTCCAGCCCTGGAGCCAGAAATTTTGGGTTGGTGGGGCATGGGGACATGTTGTGGGGCAGCAGGGGAGGGAGAGGGGCAGCCTCTTTAAATGGTGTTTTTCAAGCGGGGGCTCTCCGCACCTGAACTCCGAGCGGCAAAATCACAGCTTGGAGTTCAGGGTAGGCGTGTGGCCAGCAGCCACCCCTCTTCCTTACCTCCTGCAAGAGTTAAAGGGCCTGCTGATCAGCCGGAGAGAGGTGGCTGCAAGATTTAAAGGGCCACAGGGTCCCACTCCCAAGATTTAAAGGGCCTTCAAGTTGATCAGTGGGCCACAGGCTCCCACTGATCAGCTGGAGGGCCCTTTTAATGTCACAGGAGGGGAAGGAGGGAGAGGAGGTGAGAGGGCAGCAGCTGTTGTGCGCCTCAGATTTGAGGGAGCAGAGCCTCGAAATGCCCCACTGTAGCTACTGGCCTCTGTAACTCCATAAGTCACCATGAACACCGGTGAATTGTAAACATGAAACCACTAGCCACCATCTTGAATTCTTCTGTGCATCTTAGTTTGAGGTGTAGTGATGTCGTCTGTGATGTAGTGATGGCCAAAGGAATAACCAGCTTTCAAGGGATTCAAAGGGGATTAGATAGATTCATGGAGGGTAAATCTATCATGACCACTAGCCATGGTGACTGAGGAGAATCTCCAGTGGCCTTAATCGTCTGAATCCCAGATCCAGGAGACAACATCAGGGAAAGGCCTCAGCCTCTATGCCCTGTTGTTGGCCCTCCAGAGGAACTGGTTGGCCACTGTGTGGGACAGGATGCTGGATTAGATGGACTATTGATCTGATCCAGCAGGGCTCTTCTTATGGTCTTATGTGATCTCTTGCTCACTGGACAAGACATGGTAGCACATACATGGCTCGGGCAATGTGCAGCCACAGAAAAAGTTAAGATGGCTGCACCTGTGCTACAAATTTCAGCAAGCTCATTGTCAAAGCCCCAGAGTGTTATGCCTGGAAATTGGGCAGTTGAGAAAATATCTGTTAATGCTTGTGTTGAGAGAACGGGTGGAAATTTTTAGTAAATCCTTTGCTTGTTTCTACAGAAAATTCTTATAGCCACCACAGGATGGCTATAGTATACTGTCTCCAGAGGGGTAGTATAAATGAGAATCAGGTCTTCCATCTGTAAAAGTGCCCTAGTGCCAACAATCATCGAACCATAGTTGGAAAGGGACTTTAAGGGTTGTCACAATCAAAATCTCCTGCACAGTAAAAGGATTCACAAGACCAAAACAGTTCCTGAGAGATATCTCTCCACTTATCCCTTAGAAAATTCCAGTGGAGAATTAATAGTTTTCTTAGGAACGTGGTGAGAACTTGTCTCTAGAGCTGGAATGAATTTTGAAAGTGGAAAAAAAATAAACATTTGAAAACTGAGTTAAAAATCTAAATAAATGTCAATTTTTGAGGGGGTATAGCTCATTTTTTGTCCATCCAACTTTTAGTGAACAGATTTGAGAGTCAGTCTCCTTCCCCTAATATTTTTTTTAAAAAAAATACAAATATTGTTTTCACAGTTTTAAACACCAAGGCCAGGATCAAAACATCTACTTTAAATTCACCCAGTGCTAACTTTCACCCAGAGAATGTTTAAAAACTTTTATTTGTGTCATACTATAAACTCTTTTTTGAAACTCTCACCCAGTTTTGATAGCAGTTTGCCCTGCGGCATTTTCGGGGGGAGGGGGGAGCACTTGAGCAAACTCACGTCTCAAGACATTTGGGCTCATTGAACTGTCTACGAAGTTCTTTGGAGCTCGACCCATATATTCCCAGGGAGAACACTTTGGGGCTATTCTTCCTGTTGAGAATACTTGATACCAGGGGTCATTTCGTAGAAAAAGAGCTAGGGGGACTCATTAGCATAACTCATTAGCATATGCCACACCCCCTGACATCACTGGAAGTGTGTCCTCCCCACAGCCGGCGGCGACCTCTAGCGGGCACCAGCAGGGAGCTCCAGGCCCCGCCCTCCCACACCTCACCCGGGGGGATGGCGTCCCCCCGCGCCCCCCCCCCAAATGACCCCTCCTTGATACACTTTTAATACACTGGCCATGATTTCCTTAGTCTCTATAACGGAGCGATTAAAGTAGAAATGAATTTGAAGGGAGAAGAATACTTGCTTAGGTATAGAAACGGCACAGGGCAATCTGTATTTCCTACAAATAAATTTGACAATTTCAAATTTTCTATATCCGTCAATATTCAATATTGTTTTAGTTCATTTTCCCGCTCAGTGGCTAACACGGGACACGGAGGGCTCAGAGCCCCTTTTAAGCTAACATGCTGTTTACAACCTGTCTAATAAATTTCAAAAACTACATAAACGGACTTTTAAAATAGATTTGGCCAAGAAACCAATGAATGCTGCATGCAGCTGAAGCATTAACGGACTTTATGATCAGTTCTTACATCTGAATGGTAAAAAGATTTTTTTTTGGGGGGGGGTAGGAGGATTAAGATACCTACAAAATATGGAATAGTTAAAATATGCATGCACCAGGAGCTTTGAGCACCTAGAATAGAAATTAGGTATCCAAACATTTAAAATGAAGCTTTATTTGGTTTAAGACGTCATTTAGCTGTACACATTTACAGAAGACAATGTATATAACGTGACCATAAAATTAATCATCTAATACTGATTATTATTATTATTATTTGCCCTCGAAGCATATGGATGTTACTACAAGTACCTGCTCGTCATCAATAAATTAATTGCATATTGAGCGACAAAACAAAGCAAAGAGTTTAAAAACAAAGAAAACTGGGGGGGTATCAGTGGTCTTGCGACACAAGGCGATTGCGCTCTTTTTCCTCTCAACCATGGCAGTTTTCCCAGTTCACCTTCAGAATTGTTTAGGGATGCATTTCTGTCATGTTGGGCATGAAATCACTGGAGACCAGATGGCATGTTTGGACACTCTGAGGCCTGGTCGTTCTTGCATATAGAAAGCCAAAAGAGCAAGGAGAAAGGATCTGTCAGGCTGGCTTTCTGTTTGCAGGGACTTCTTTTTAACATGGGAGCATTCAGAATTGTGGTTCCTGACCTGCAGCCTTAAGCAGCGCTATTGGGGTTGCCATGCATGACCTAGCAACCATCAGGAGACTGGGGGAAGTGGGTACATACAGGCAGGGGGGAACAATAATTGCCACCATGTGATGATGTCAGTTCTAGCACAACCTGGAAGCGCTGGCATTGCACCACAGTGGCGCTGTAGCTGTAGTTTCCAGTGATTCCTAGAGCTACCCATTGTCACATCACGGTTTTTACTGGAAGTGGTGTCAGCACACCCACATCCCACCATGTCCTCCCACTGGTCGCCTGGCAACCCTAACTTGGGCTGTAGTGATAAGGATGACAGTGTAAGTTCACAGAGGTCCAGATCCAAGTCAAGAGTCTCCCGCAACAGTGCTAGCATTGTAGGGAGACCTTGGCCCAGTTTGCTGGTAACATCCCAATCCATGACATGGAGATCCCTATACAGAGATCTGGGTTTGCTCTCTGGGAAAGCAGGCTTTCCCCGTTTAATTCCAAGGAGAGACCACTTGACATCCACATTTCTTTGTGCTGGCAAAATTCTTCCTTTACTGAAACGAACGGATGAGTCCATCTCAAAGAGAGACTGCCATATGCGCATCTGGGCCTTTAAGTCTACAACGAATTGCTAGACCAGGTATAGAAAAACATTTGGTTTTGCTATTATAATGGAAACAATCCACTGGCATGATCAGTGCTGCTAAAGAACTGTCAGTTCCTTTGCCCTCCTGTCAAGAGTTCACGTGTGCAACCGATATGAGCGTAGTCATTGGGTATCATCGTAACAACAGAAGTCAAAAAACTCTACTACATTTAACTCTAATATTAAATAATATGTAAATGTCTGAAACACTGTACTTAAAGACAGCTAAGAAATTAGGCTACATCCACTCATGATTTAATTCCATTAAAGCAGAGGATTTCAAATATTGTGTTCTGGGGAACCATGAAACCCCTCATGAGCTAATCAAGGGATCCTCACTGAGAAGAGTGGAAATGGTGGACAAACTTCCTTGAACAAAAGTTCGCCTCCCACTTCTGATTTTCTTGTTCAGTGTACAGCCATTGGGGAGTGTCTGGTACGTTTTAGGCTGTGTTCTCAATTCACATAGAGCAATGCTTAAGTCCAGTTGGCCAGGCAAATGACTCTGTTTGAATGCAACATGCCGCAGAATTCCTAGTAAGACACAGGAGTTCCTTGGAATATCTGCTGAGTTGGAAAGTGTTCATGGAAAAATAGGACATTTGAAAACCTTTGCATGAAGGTAAAATGGAATTAATCCAGGAATTAACTTGGCCTATATTAGATGAAAAATACTACTTCCATCCTAAGGGGAGGGGGAGGGGTAAGGAGGACCCCGATGAAGAAACATACAAACACATACAGCAGCATCAATGTTCAGAGATGAGTTTCGTTCCTCAAGAACTGCCATCTCCCGTCCTCTCTTTGCGGGCTTGGATCAGCTCCCTGGGCGCCTGCTTTCGTTCGGTGACCAAACCCAACCAAAACATGAAGTCAATGAACCATGTGGTTGGGTTGAATTTCAAGCCAAACTCACTAGCTGAATAATCAAATGGAAAGGTGTGGTGGTAATTGTGAAAACCTTCACCTAGGAAACAAAACCCAGAGGAAACAAAGGTCAAAGGTAAAGGGGAAGACAATAAAGGGAGGGCAGCACTGGAGAGGTTCTAGGAAACAGTCTGTGGAAGAAGAAGAAAAGCATGACTTTTTCACAGTTTGGGAAAACAGGCAACAAACTAGTATGCGTGTAAAGTGCCGTCCAGTCACAACCAACTTATGGTGACCCCAACAAGGGGCTTGAAGAAGAAGGAGAAGAGGAGGAGGAGGAGGAGGAGGAGATTGAATTTATACCCTGCCCTTCACTCGGAGTCTCAGAGCGGTTTACAAACTCCTTGTGCTTCCCCTCCCTACGACAGACACCCTGTGAGGTATGTGGGGCTGAGGGAGCTCTTTCAAGAAGTGGTCTTTCAAGAAAAGCTCTGACAGAACTATGGCTTGTCCAAGTTCATCCAACAGCTGCAAGTGGAGGAGTGGGGAATCAAACCTGGTTCTCCCAGATTAGAGTCCGCGCACACTTAACCACAACACCAATCCCCTCCCCAATCCCTGCCCTCTCATGGTTTCACCCCCAAAGTCTCGGGTATTTTCCAACCCAGAGCTGGCAATCCTGCCCTCCACCCCCAAATTTCTAGGAATTTCCCAACTCAGAGTTGGCAACCCTTGTTGTGGAGGGTCCCTTGACCTTCAACAGAAGCTTGTGCGGTGGAACATGCAATGAGAAAGAGGAGCCAGGAAAAAGTAGTTTCCATTCACAGCTGCTGCCAATCTGAGGCTGATTCTGCACTGGCTTTTCCAGCCGTTCTTTTAGCAAACCCACATTGGAACAGAAATTCCTCTCTGCATTGCATGCTGCTTTCACTTCCTTTGATCATCAGATTTTATGGTACCTTCTGCATAGATTTATGGCCGTTTTATGGCCGTTCGGGGTGACTTTGCAGTCAGTATGGCTTTGGCCCAGGGTATTTGAATGTGGTTTTGAGCTGCACGTTTCCCTCCCAGTTGAGAAAATAATGTGGAGCGAATGCTAGATACAGAATCGCCCTGAGTCAACAATACCGACCTTGATGGACCAGTGGGCTGATTCAGTATAAGACTCTTTCATGTGTGTTCAAATGCCTGTTTATATTATCGTAACCCACCTTGAGAATTTGTTCTCTGGTGGGAAGGTAGGCTTAGAGAACGTTTTTGATAAATGAACCAATCTCAAATGGTGTCCTGCAGACTACTGTCTCCAGGCCCTGGACGTTTGGGAGTATTTGAGGTCAAGCTGCATTTCTTCAGTCTCCTGCTGTTGCCTTGGAGCCATTAGCAATAATGAATTCTTGTGGCCTCGGTGACTTCTGAGAAACCATGGGACGTTAAGATAAAATTGGCAAGTCTGGAATCCAGCTCTCTTGAGAAGCAAAGGAAGTTGGCAGCAGGGTTGTGGGAAAGAAACTGCACTTTAAGAGGATACACAAAGCCATGGAGAAGACTGACGTTATCAGTCAACAGGATTTATTTGCTTAATTTGCCATATGCTGAATTATAAAGCTTGTTCAGTTTTTGTTTTTCTTACAATACCTGAATTAAATATAGAGATGGATGGATGGATGGATGGATAGATAGATAGATAGATGATAGATAGATAGATGATAGATAGATAGATGATAGATAGAGAGATAGATAGATAGAGAGATAGATAGATCATTTGACAGCTGATGCACACAACAATCTGGAGACAATCAGCTATGAAACAGTGTTCTTGGTACTCACCAATGGCCCCTACAGTGACAAGCGCATTCTCCCTAGGGTTGATGTTCTTGTCATATGGCCGATTGCCATACATGTGAGCCACACTGTTGACCAGCCAAGAGACGTTGAGTGAGATGGTATAGCGGAGGATCGAGGCGACAAAGTAGGAATTCCACAAGGTCTCCCCCCAGAAGTACCAAGGCACAAGAGTAGGAACAACAAAGCACATCAGAGCTACTGAAATCTTATAGTGCCTGTGAAGAAAGAAAGAAAGAAGAAGGGTCACCAGGCGAGGTCATGCAAGACAAGATGGCCTATGTTGCCGAAATCCAAGTTAGCCAAGTAAGAACAAAAGATAATAGTGCCTTATTGTATTTCTAAATGGTGTGTGTGTGAGAGAGAGGGGGGGAGATTAAGAGAGAACCACCTTCAACATGTATTCCAGGCCTAGGAAATGCTATCAGGAAAACTCCTATTCTCCTAGCATTCCATGAAATATGCAAAACAGAATTATTCAGGAGGGCATTTTTATAAATGAAATAAAGGTAAAGGTAAAGGTTCCCTTGCTCGAAAGCCAGTCGAGTCCGACTCTAGGGTTGCGGTGCTCATCTCCGTTTCAAAGCCGAAGAGCCAGCGCTGTCCGAAGACGTTTCCGTGGTCATGTGGCCGGCATGACTAAACACCAAGGTGCATGGAACGTTGTTACCTTCCCACCGAAGTGGTACCTATTTATCTACTTGCAATTTCTTGCTTTCAAACTGCTAGGTTGGCAGGAGCTGGAACTAGAGACGGGAGCTCACTCCGTCATGTGGCACACTCGGTTCTCGAACTGCTGAACTACCGACCTTCCACAGCCTGCAGTTCAGCGTCTTAACCACTTGAGCCACCGCAGCTCCATACAAATGAAATAGGGCATTGTTATAACAGAATGATTAACAAAGAATGCTTTAATAAAGGAAAAGAGGCTGTGGACTGTACTGCTGTTGCCATGTGTGTTATCCTATTACGCAATTCCTGCATTGCTTAGAAGGTTTTGATGTACTCTACTCTTCTCTACCTTAAGGAGTCTCAAAGTGGCTGACAGTCATGTTCCCTTCCTCTCCTCACAACAGGCAGTTTGTGGGGTAGTTCTGAGAGAACTGTGACTTGCCCAAGGTCACCCAGCAGGCTTCATGTGGAGGAAAAGTGGGGAATCAGACCTGGTTCTCCAGCTTAGAGTTTGCCTCTCTTAACCACTATGCCATGCTGGATCTCCATATGCCAAGCTAACATTTATGCTTCGTTTCAGCTTTGTTCCAGACTCCAGAGAGCCAGTTTGGTGTAGTGGTTAAGAGCGCTGACTTTAATCTGGGAGAACCGGGTTTGATTCCCCACTCCTTCACATGCAGCTGCTGGTGTGACCTTGGGTCAGTCATAAGTTCTTTCACAGCTGTTCTCTCAAGGACAGTTCTTGCGAGAGCTCTCTCAGCCCCACCTACCTCACAGGGTGCCTGTTGTGGGGAGGGGAAGGGACAGGGATTGTAAATTGCTTTGAGACTCCTTCAGGTAGTGAAGGGAAGGGTATAAATCCAGTCTCTTCTTCTTCTTACCTAGCTTTTAATCTCTGCATTGCTTATTAGATCTCCCATCCTATCAATTGCATTGACTTGCACCGTCATAACCTGGCTTAAGTCTCCGTGAGAAAGGTGGACTATAAATAATGTATGTAAATAAATAAATATCAAACATGACACTGAAGTCAGATTCTAGACGTAACTATCAAACATGACACTGAAGTCAGATTCTGAAATGTATTCCAACTGCCCTTGGTGTTTTTTGTAACTATAAATAAAGTCTGTGAGTTTAAAGATCAAGAATTGAGGGGAATTGAAATATTCATCTAATGGACTTCAGTATGCTCATTATTATTGTCCAGTAAGAACTTCTTCAGCTTCACAAAGAAGGGTTTTGGTGGCAGACAATGGCGAATATAACACTTGTGAAGGGTGTACAGATGAATGAATCCGTGGCACGGTTGTTGTCCCTTGGTCCTGTAACCATGTTTTGGGAACAGGTAAAGGGGCAAACATCTGATGACTTAAAGTTTCAGAGCCAATCAAAACAACAAATCACTTCTGGAAAGGGGAGAGAGTCCCACACCATCATGGCCAAGAACCAGATGCAGACTGAAAGGTCACAAAGTTCAGGACTCATGAGGAACTCCTCTCTGGACCATCCCAGGAAATTGTCACTGGAGTACCTAAGTCTGTGGAGGCAGAGTCCTCCCTGAAGAGCCTACTTGATCCAACCCCAGCCCCTTTCTAGCTCCACCAGTGTCCACAGCATAGGCCGCAGTGATGTCCCCTATAAAATAACATGTCCCAGGGAGACAGATCTTGATCATACACAATTAATTGACGCAGATCTCAACAGGTTGCTAGAAAACACCCAAGGCTAACAGCTTACTAGCCTTAGCCCTGATAACCAGCTTCCGATATGATCTGTTCATGGTCCTGAAACCTTGCTTGCGCTTCCTGAAACACTGACCTAGATAACTCAGGTTAGCTCGATCTTGTTAGATCTTGGAAACTAAGCAGGGCTGGCCCTGGTTAGTATTTGGTTTGGAGATCACCAAGGCAGTCCAGGGTTGCTACACAGAGATAGGCAATGGCAAACTACCTGTGAATGTACCGAGCTAAGTTAGAAATTAAGCAGAGGATCAAGGACACCGAACGCCAACTAGATCTACAGGTGTCTCCAACTTTTATAGCGCCAACTAGTAATAAATACATTGTTGCACAGGCCCCATATTTAGCTGTTCTGGAGTCCCGTAAACTCAGAAGGGCTTACACTTTGGCTAGATGCTCTGCCTTACCTTCTGCAATTCTTGAGGGCAAATTTAAAAAATTACCCCGAACAGAGAGGTTATGTATGTGCGCGTTGGGGGAGATCGAATCTCAGGAGCATGTATTCTTAAGGTGCCCATTATTTGAAGAGGCACGCACAAAACTCATTGAGCCTTTTTTGGCAGGCACGTCTGATCAGGATAAGATGGAAAACTTGTTTTTTAACCTTGAACATACAGCGCTCCATCAGATTGCAAAATTTTGCTCCTTGGTTATAAAATCTCATCAGTGCCCTGGTTGTCACTTCGGTTAGGACTGTTTGATTTTAACTTTTACTCTTTCCAAGTCATCTTAGTTCCTTTCCTTTTATCGTGTTTTATTGTAATTTTAAGTCTGGTTTTAGCGACCAAAATGATTGTATAATGTTATTTTTTAGTACCTTGTTGCACTTTGGAAATTTTACTATTAGGCCATTGTAGTTTATTTGTATTTCTATGGTTTTATTTTGCTGGCTGGGTGCCGTAACAATAAAATTCATTCATACCTGTGAATGTCTCTTGCCTTGAAAACCCTACGGGGTTGCCATAAGTAGGCTGCAATTTGAGGGCAAAACAAATAAAGGAACCTGGAATCATCATCCTCCTTAGACTTGTCAGTACTTTCCATGGCTCCACCACACTACTAGCTTCTTCTTTATCTTCACAATGGCACTGTGAGCCATTCTCTGTAATTCTCATTTTATGCTGCCTTCATCCTATGCTTGGCCCAGGCTAGCCCGATCTCATCAGATCTCAGAAGCTAAGCAGGGTCAGCCCTGGTTAGGACAATGGATGAGAGATCACCAACAAAGACAAAAGGAAATACTGCTTTACACAGAGAGTCAGGGCTTTTTTTTGTAGAAAAAGCCCAGCAGGAACTCATTAGCATATTAGGCCACACCCATGACATCACAGCTCATTAGCATATTAGGCCACACCCCCATGTTACCAGAAGTGTAGTCATCCAGCCACACCCACCTTTTCTTCTTATTCTGTTTACCTTGTTTGTTGTCAAAACCCAGGGCCTTTTTTTGGAGCAGGAACTCCTTTGCATGTTAGGCCACACACCCCTAATGTAGCCAATCCTAATGGGTTCCTGCTGTTAGGTGTGGCCTGTTATGCTAATGAGTTCCTGCTGGGCGTGGCCAACTCGGGAGCCAGCCGGAACTCTGTTCCTGTGCGTTCCTGCCCAAAAATAGCCCTGCAGAGAGTCATTAAAATATGGGATTTGCTACCAGAGGATGTAGTGATGGCCACAGGCTTAGAGGGCTTTAAAAGGTGATTAGACAGATTCATGGAGAAGAGGTATATCAGTAGCTACTAGACATGGTGACTGAAGGGAATATCCACAATCAGAGGCAGTCAATCTCTGAATGCTATTGTCAGGAGATATCATCAAGGGAAGGGCTTGGCTTCTATGTCCTGGACTTCCAGAGAAACTGGTTAGGCACTGCGTAAGAGAGGAGACTAGATGGACCATTAATCTGATCCAGCAGGGCTTTTCTTATATACTTAACGGCAGATGGGAGACCAATGTGCCTCAGACTGGAAACTTCCATTGATCATTGACAGCAAGGTTGAAATGGAAGCCCTGCCTTCCTGTGTGGTTCCCAGTGAATTTTAAAACTTGATTCTAATTCATGATAAACTACGTTTTGCAATCATTCACATGTGTGCAAAAATAGTGCACAAGGGCCTCAAATAGGGTTGCCAGGTCCCTCCAGGGGCTGGGGGGAGCTTACCAGGAGCAGGAGGAAGGCCCAGCCAACATTGCAGCAATGTGTCTATCTGACATGACCCAGAAGTGACATCATCATGTAGCAACATCAGGTGATACTCTGGGATTTGGGCAAAAACTCTATGGTTAATTTGGCTTCTACCATAGAGTTTTTGCCCAAATACCAGAGCATTGCCTCTACATTGCCAATGTGGTGAGCTCACTTCCAGGTCACATTGGAAGTGATGTAGACACGTCACTGCATGTCAGCTGGGCTTCGCTCTTTTTCAGGGTAAGCTGATCGATGGTAGGGCAGTGGGGCCTGGTGTTGGGGGATCCCTGCCTCCACTGGGGGGGTTCAGCAACAATAGGCTCAAAGGTGTTTGGAGATCGCTGATGAGAACACATTAGCTATTGGGTGGGCTGTGTAAAGCCTCTGCTTATGCTGTGTGCCATCAGGGGACTGCCAACATGAACCTCTACCTCACGCCCAACCCCCAAACCAAAAATGCCTCTCCGAGAGGTCATTAAGTTTCATTCAGCCATTTGGAACCTAACTTGTCATTGCACCAGAATTTCTGCTGATTTGTTCAGCACAACATCACCTAAAACTAATTGCAATTTGCCAGAACTGTGTCATCAAGTGCAAACGTCTTCCTCATCGATGCAAATGC